GGCAAGGTGTGAAGTGGTTTAGTCATCGCTGTTCATCAGCAGAAAAAAAGAAAGTACCGTGTTTGAATGTTTTACCGTGTAGGATGGTGGGGGGGTGGGGAAATGTTTGTGCTTCACTGAGAGCCAAATGGCAAAGGCCACAGGATCAGAGAGGCAGGGTGACACACACACCTGTTTGAAAAGACGACAAATGATAAAAGAGATAGTGCTGACATGACAGAGTTGGATTTATTAAGGACTTTCATTGTAATTAACCAGAGAGAAAAAGGTACAAGGTTAAATCCCCGGCTCCTCCTGACACATATCAACATGTCCTTGACATTTAGCGACAGTGTGTGTGTGTGTGTGTGTGTATGTTGGCAGAAGAAAATGTCGGCATTGTATGTTTCTGCACACCCTAAATACGTCACATTTGCACATCTCGTAGGTATCTTATCAACATTACTGAAGTGACGCAGTATATCACCTGACTGTATCAAGAGGTAAAGGGGACGGTGGATGACGTGATACCAAAGGTGTGACGCCTGCCAAGCTCCAGACCACTGTTTCAGGCACCAAATGTGGGTGTCCTGGTGTCAGCATAGTTGCATGAAAAGTAGTTGCTTCTTTACAGATACATTGCTGTGTTTCCTGCAGAGATAGTGGCACAAAAAGCCATTGTCTTTTACCAAGACATCATTATGTTTCCAGCTGGGAATGTGCCCTCAAACTGGGTATTTTAAAGGGGACATATTATGCAAAACTCACTTTTCCAAACAACCTACATGTAGTCAATTCAACACACTGTACAAGATTTGCTCCCCTTGTTAAGTAATTTGGCAGCTCTGAACGCTTCCTATTTGAATATCTTTACCCATGCTTGACAACCACCATCATGAACGTCCACCAATCTTTTTTCGCCGCAAGCGGCAGGTAACCGGACAGGAGGGCACAAGTTATGTCTAGGCAAAATAAGCAAAACTACTCTGTTGTTTGCTGCACGAACCAGCACAACTCGTGTAATACACAAGCTACTGTGAGCAAAAAAATGTACGTGTGTGCTGATCACTTTCTGCCACAGTGCTTCGGCAACTTGGGACTGGCCAAAACAATATCGTTTCCTAACCATAACCAAATGGTTTTTGTGCCTTAACCTAACCTCATGTTAATCACGGTGCTGTTGAAACATAAAGTTTTAACAAGAAACATACAGTGGCATCATTTTTTCTGGCAACTGGATTAGGAGGAAAAAAATCCTGTATGAGTGTCACATATCAGGAGAGTGATTTTGATTTATCTTTGACACACAAAATCCGAAAGCTCTCCAATGTGCAGCCAGTTTGAGGGAGGCGGTAGGATTGACCTCTACCTCTGTAAATATTGTTTGTTTATATTAATCTTTTATATATTCAAAGTGAAATGAATCAAGCAGCAGAGAGGAAAATGAGTTGTAGTTGCTGTGATTACAGTGACTGAGGTTAATGACGGCAAAATGTTCAGTCAAACACTGTCTAATTTGCAACTCTGTGCAATGCCGGGTAGATAGATAGCTGGGCTCGCTCCTGCAGGTGACGTTAACAACTTAATCAAGCACAGCTTCACACAGCCTCGAGACGAGAGCTAATCAGGCAGATTAAGTGAAAACACCTGTGGGGCTGGACCTCTGAGATGAGAACACACTACACACAATGAAGGCTGATTATCTGCTCTGCTTGGTGATTTTTAAGATGTTTTTTAAAGTCTACCTTGTGTAACATTTACTTGGTCACATGCGATAAATATGAAACAGCTAGAAGTCATTTAGCATCCTGATCATAACCACAACATATGAATGTTAATCCCCTCCAGATATGTTTTAATTTTTAAACATTGTTTCCCCTCATATAAAGTTCATGGGACCTCGTGAAATTCAGAGCGTAAATGTCTGGACATGGTTCTCAACATGAAGGTGGCTGAGCTGGTGGCTAGCAGCCAACGGTGCTAACTCCATAAACAGCTTTAAACAACAGCAACATTGCTGACAGAGCTAACGGTGTTAACAGGAACCGGAGGGTGGGCGCTATGCTTACACTGTACCAATATCAACAGGAAATGCAACACATTCTCACTGCAACCTTGTTACATACTAACGTTTGGTCATAGACCTCCCACATCCAGATACGACATGGAAGGTACCCTGGGTGTGCTGGTTGTTGATGTTCTGGGACGCCATGTCAAGTTCTGCCTGTCATTGCTTTCGGCTAATATTCAAAATAATCCGCCAACATGCTGATAACATCGGTACATCATTGGGATTGGTCACTATTGGCTTTGAAATGAATCGACCAACATGTTTTTTCTTAATTTGCAGGATGAATGAATATTATAAACATTGTAAGAGCTGCTAAATAATTTCTCCATTTGCTGGTGGGCCATCATGGTAAGAGTATGCATGCATAATATGATGTTAATTCCACAACAGAAGAGACTTGATGATCATTAAAATAATGGTGGGAAAAAAGCGGCTGTATCGATATCGTTCAAATGAGTTGTTATATATCAGCATATTGTATATCAGCAAAAAAATCCAGTATTGTGCATCCCTAACACACAAAAAATCCCATAGCTGGTAAAAAGCAGTTTATTTGTTCTTAGACATTGTCAAGACATGACAGACTCCCCTCTACACAAACGGCAGACTATAACTGCTCAGTTTCTGATGCTTTCATGCTCCACAAACCCCATTTCCACTGAGTGTTGCTCACTTAGTGTCATAAAACTGCGCTACGGACCTCAGCTCTGCACATAAGCACCAGATAGTCAGCAGCGTTTTTTAGCTTTCTTCCAAACTAGCCACTCATGATGAAAATCAGCTTTTGTGGAATACATTTACCTCCCGGGCCTCTTTTATAGTCTCACAGAAACTGGGTGAGTTACATAAATATGTACTCAAAAAGCTGAACATGTCGCTGAATTGTGAGTGGGGGAAGATCTGATCTGACTCAAACTGAGACTGACAACTGTGGAAGTCTGGACAAAACTACTCAGACTCACCGAGTTTCACAGGATCCACGCTGACAGCCATGAAATCTGACTGACACTGGGAGCACATGGAAATAATGGAGGCCGGTCGGCTATAAAAAGCATGAACTCAAGCTTTGGGTGCATTTGCTCACGTAATGTTCACCTTTTATTAGGGCGTATCATCGAATTCAAATGGAAACGTCAACAAAGGGCCCTTAAATTGAAAAGGAAACAGTGTTGTATCTGAGGAAACATGGCACAGGGAGAGGAAGCGTGTGTAGATCAGGGAAAAAACAGGAAATAAAGGAGGAGAAGGGAAAGAGAGATCAGAGTATTATTAACTGCAAATATGGGCATATTTTTGGCTCTCTTAAAAAGGATGGCTTTAGTGTGTGTGTGACAGAGACAAGATAGAGAGGAAGAGGGGACACATGTTTATCAGTCAAAAGGTAAAGGGAGCCTCCTGCTGGTGAGAGGAACAACAGACCGGATACAGATTAAAATCATGTTCTGGTGTTTGTTGATTTTATTTCAAGACAATGGTGAAATCCTTCACACATTAATCACCTCTGCATTGATTTGTTTAAAAAGTGTCGACACTTTCCAAATAAATTCCATGCACCACAACCTAGACAAAACAAGTGACATGCATGTTGCCTTTATGACTTTTCCGTTGATCTTTTCACAATTTAAATTTTGGATTTAGGAGCAAAGTTGCGCCTCAGACAAAAGAGAAATGGAGGCTCAGACTAAATTCAAGAAGAGCATGGGGAAGGCTAATTTCCCCCAAAACTATCAAAACAATCCCGAACTAAACTAATCCAAAATAAAACCTAAAAATATTGCTACCAATAACCTCAAATGACACAGCTCCCAAAGACCAAGATGGATCTTTTGTTTGCAGTAAGCTGGTTTCACTCTCCTCTCCACCTTTCCTCGATCAGCTCAGGTGCAACCTATTAATTCATCAGAGGCTCTGGAGATAGACTGATTGAATAAAACCCTGAGTAAAACTGGATAAATACAGTATGGGATGCATTACATGCCCCTGTGTATTTTTCTAATGTTATTAATTAAAAAGGTTTTATTTTAGTGTGAGAGGTCCCATTTTGGGGGAAAACAAAAAATAATACACAAATCATTAGAAAATGTGAAGCAACAGTTACGCTTTTGAGGACAAACTTGTCAGTGTTGTTGTTCTATATTAAGTGCTATATTTCAAGAAGCAAAGCAAACTGTATACATTGAAACCTTTGATGCAGAACAACTGCATCAAAGGTTTCAATGTAAAAAAACAACTGACTTGGTCTTGGCAAGGTGCTGGAAACATCAGTAAGTCCAAACTGGTAGAAAAAGATTTCCGCACACTTACATCTATGCAGTGTTTGCGGTCTATCTAACCTTTATCAGCACATACATCTACACTACAACCACATCTTAACCTTTAAAATGCAGACACTGTATCTGATTATACTGTTGATCAGGAACTAGAAGAGGAACCAGTGACAGTGACTATTTGCAGCACTGAAGAGTCCATACATTACAATTTTAATAGATCTTTTTCTTGAACCTTGGGTCTTACGTTTCTACTGCAGAATTTATTTTAACTGATGTTTTTGTTTTTATGATCCTTGTAACCAGGGGTGTAAATATAGACAGTGCAGGCAGTGTGATTGCACTGGGGCCCCTAAGGTGGAGGGGCCTGTAGAGAGAAAGCGGGCCCTTGCAGATGACTTAGATTACCACCTTGGAAATATACCTGTGTTCAAAGATATATGATAAAAAGAATATTATTAACTTAAAGACTGTGCCATTTGTTATTGATACAGGTGGGTTTGCCTTTTTGAGGATCTGTGTCATAATTTACTTTTTTTTTTTTTTTTTTGAATAGTCAGTAGCTATCAAAAACAAAATGATATGCTTTTTCTATATAGGCTTTGAAATATTCAATTCAATGATTAATTTCTTACTTTCTTTGATATTTTTGTCACAGATGCCATGGTGATTGCTGGGTAATATTTATGTTGATGTTGTTGACAATACATGCATGACACCATGCAGTAGGGCCTGCCATAACAGTGTGCACTGGTTGTAACTTTCTTGCGCTACTGCTTGTAACTATTCTAGTTTATGTCGTTGTTAAGTGTGCTGTGCTGCTCCTGTGTTGTTGTTGTCTTACTAATTATGTTCTTGTGAACGTTTCTTGTTCTCAGGACTCTCTTAAAAAGAAATATTAATCTCAATAAGGCTGCCTGATTAAAAAAGAAAGGACACTAATTAAAGGAACAGGGTTTTGCTCTGGACAAGAAAACTAGCCCCTCACATTTGTTAAAGGGGGCTGGTTTGCTGTTGTTAGACAGACTGCAGGTCAGAACCATTGACATGAAGCTCAGCGTAAGTTCAATTAAGAAGGCTCCCTTCACGATTCTCTCCCTCCCTCTGCTTCCTCTAATCAGCTGACTATGGGTGTTCACTCTTCTAGTTATCCAACCAAACTTTGCTACGATCTCTATTTGCCAATTAGGATGCTACCGCAAAATTTAAAAGGCTCATTTCTCTTCTCATCCAGAAAATTACATGTGGTGTTTTATGCTTTGTCAGAACTTTTTGTACAGATGTCTTTATTATAGCATACCAGAAAACAAAACATCAGATAACATACAACAAGTCAAAAACCAAAATCTGAGATAAAATAATATTCAAAGCCTTTCATGTCACAAAATTAGGAATGTTAAAAACTCTTTGAACAGTCTCAGTCACAATCAGAAAATCTAAGTCATCATGTCAGTGCACCTGAGCTGACACATTCACATTTTCACACACAGTGGTACCGCAGGCTTCCTCTTACTGGCGTCCGAGGAGAGAAAAAGTGGTTTATAAATGTTTATATTACGCAATAGTTATGTCACACTGCCAAATCTCTTCACAGAAATCCCCTGCCCTCTGCGCAGGTTAAGTGAGATAATCCTTAACTAATCTGGCTATCACTGCCTTTAATCTCTTAATCCGTTTTTGCTAAACTACAGATTAGATCAAGTTTGCTGACAGGTGTGGAGGTACCTTTTTGTGGTTTTAAAAGCACTATGGGAAAGTAGACATCACCATATAGCTCCATGAAAGCAGGCTGTATTGTGCGGCCTATTTAACAGGTTAAACACTGGCTACCATACTGATCACTTGTCACACTGTCAGCTGCATCTAAAGCTTGGAAAGAGCTCCAGAGGCAGATTTGTATCATACACCCACCTCATCTCCAAGGAATAAATAAGTTTTTTTCAATTAGTGTAACTCTCTTTTAGTACAAGCAATTTTAGAAGTCCCCTTTGTGAAGTAAACTCATTTTATTCTGTGATATTTTTTCATACTATGATCTCTTCTTGCTCTTGAAAATTCAATACAAAACAATATTTCAAGATTATTTGTGTTCTGGGGTTATGTGGGCCTTAAATAAGGTTATGGTTAAAATAACCTAATTTATTGTAACATTTTTGCTGCTTGTTAAAAGACATGTATAAGAGACGATGCATGAGTTGAGTATTTCAGATAAAAGGGGACTTCTACAATAGCTGTACAGTTTGGTTTCAGGACATCCTGTGTGAAATATAGCCTCCTCCTTACACTTCCTCCACACTCCTACATCTAACCCCCCGTCATCGTCATATTCTTTATATTCTCCACACTCCTTCATCCTGAGCAGCTAGTTGCTCTTGGCCTTCAGCTCTGCCAGCTTGCTGGTGACAAAGTTCCACTTAAAGGATGCGTCCTCGCTCCCTCCTCCCAGTGAGACGTATTTGGAGAAGCTGTTGTTGCCGCTCCTTCCTCCTCCTCCTCCTCTTCCGCCTCCTTCACTCTCCTCTCCCTGAGGGATCTGCCCATCCTGGCTCTCCTCCCCTACAGCCTCTGTCACCCCCTCTTCACCCTGACCTGCTGCTGCTGCCTCGTTCGCTGCAGCAGCAGCGGCTGCAGCTTCCGCCTGCTTCTTGGCGGCCCAGTTGGCTGCAAAGCTATCCCAGAATGCTGTGCGCTTAGGGGGTCGAGGAGGAGGCTCCTCCGGCTTTACTGCAAGTGGACTGAGGAGTCAGAGAAAATAGTGGGGTTAATTTTAGGAGTCAGTCAAATATAGGTGGGTGCTTTGGCATTGTCACCAGAAGACCAATACTGCTGTCACATAATTCACTAAATATGAAGCTACCCCTCATGCGTAAGTTTTGGACGCACAGAGGTGGCATGTCGAGTTTCTGCACATTAAATGGAATTTCAAAATAAACGTTAAGCATTTTAGGTTTACTTCCTTCAGTTTAGGCAACACAAGTAGGTGGTTAGGTTTAGAAAAAAAAAAGATCATTGATTGGCTTAAACTAAGTAGATTTGTCACTAATGTAATATGTGATGTGACATATGCACTAGCATAGTATGCTATATGTACAAGCACACTACGCTGTTATTAAATAACTCGATTGACGTGAGTTTGTTTGACCCATCCACCTCTACTCTCACTCACCCAATACAGACTTTCCCGCTCTTTATACGACAATAGTTGCCCGGAGTGTCAAAAGTCAACGTGGACTCATTACGAAATTGTCAAATGGCAGTGCTTGGGCAGTGACTTCCACGTCAGACACTGACAAAAAAAGTCATCCTTTCACATCGGCATGATATGCAGCTGGGCGGCGTCAATGTATAACAGTGCCTGACAGCATCTGGTGGAAACATGGGTAGACAACAACGTAAGCTAAGGTGGCAAAAAATGTCCAAGTTGGGTCCAGTAACCATTGACTTTCACCTGGGATACTGGTGTTCGCTTCCCGTATGAGTGTATAGTATATTTCTCCTAACCCCATGCTTTTGTTGCCCAAACCTAACCACGTGCATGTGCTGGCTAAAGGTAACTACATGTGTTTGGAAATAAAGTCAATTTGAGGTGTTGCACCAAAGTAGTATGTTTATTTTGAAAGAGACTGTACACAAACTGTACATTTCATGTGAAAATTGAAGTGTACTTTGAAAAGACACAATGCATGTAACAGGCTGAAGTTGACACAGTGTCCCAGAACAAAACACAACAGACGCACCCAGACTACCTTGCACGTCATATGTCGATGTAGAAAGTCCGTGACCAAGAACAAGGTCGGAGTGAGAATGTGTTGAAAAAGTGCAACCACCCAGTGCGTCTCATGCCACTGCTAAACGGGGCCACTGTGCCTTGGTGTCTGACGCCAAGGGCCACAGCCCAAGTATTGCTAAATAATGAGTTAGCAGTGAGACCAGGTTGGCAGTTGACTAGATTAGCTTAGCATAAAGGCTGGAAACAGGGGGAAACAGCGACACTGCGACGATAACAAAATACCATCACCTCTAAACCATTATGAGTCATTTTGTTCATTTAGATTTTTGTACAGATAAACCAGATATGACGTATTGATTAGTGATAAGTGGTAGTTGGATTTTGTAACCTTTGGAAAGGGCTAGGCTAGCTGGTTCCCACTGTTAGCAGTTTTTATGCTAAGATAGGCTAACTGGCTGCTGGTGGTTGCTTCATATTTAGCAGACAGGTAAAGTAGAATGGTATCAATCTTCCAAACTGCTTTAAATATTGTCATTTACAGTAAATGCTATCAAAGCAAAAGTCATGTCTAACCTAGCCTTATTAAACTTTTACCTTTTAAGCAAATCTAGGCCAGATCTTTTACACCACATAAAAGAGTGTAAGTCTTGCAATTTAGTGATATTTTCGATCAGACCTCCGTTTTTGTCACTCAGTTTGTCAGTGAGATAAATTCTGCTGCTGAAGTTTAACTTAACCTACGACATTATTTGGGCTTTCTTGAGGTGCCCTTAAATTAAGCTGTGAATATATATTATACACAGAAACTAAAAAAAAAAATATCTGCAGAATATTTTACCTGAACAAATCCCACAGATGGTACAAGGTGCAAGAACGACATCTGTTCAGGCAGAGAGAGGACAGATGTTAACAAAAGAGAAAGACTTCCACTCACTGGTCGGCGACTGGCGGGCTCTCAGTCTCCTCTAGGAGCTGGTGTTCATCGTCTTTGTTGAAGAGAGATGATAGCCTGTTCCAGCTTTTAGTCCCGGCCCCCTGCATCTGGACAACCACACACATGGGGTCAAAGGTCAAAGTAGGTGTCATTTAGGTGGTTTCAGCTGAACAATGGTCCTCTGTGAAGTCTCCTTTAATTATTTTACAACCACTTACTGTGATATTCATCATTACTGACACAACACTGAAGCTGTGGGGTACATTTAAAAGTTGTATGACCACATTACACACTGTAGTTGTCCCAAACATTAATCAGGAGCTGCTGACGCTCACGTACTTTCTTGGCCAGCTGGGATACAGCATTGGGACCCTCCTCCTCCTGCACTGGACTCATGTCATTCTCCACCTCTGTGACCTGCAACAGCAGAAACAAAAGACAAAATGGATGTACTGTGCCATGCTGTCCACACAGCAATGTCCCGATGTTAAAGATGCACAGGATTTGTGCACATCAGTCGCCATCTAGTGTCTAATATGGATACTACAACCCGTAAGTGCACATGAAGAAATGTCCATCAAGAGTATAGAAGACATGGATTGCTGAAGCCTGGTGTGGCAGTTTGGTAAACTGATTGTTTCTGAATAGTATTTCCACATCAGTGTATGTTCTGACATCACGGGGTCACAGCGATACACTATAGTCGTCTCATATTTCACAAGTGTGCGTGGAGCAATGTTGACTCAAATAGCAGCGATGACAACTCTGCACATCCCTCCAAATGGAAACTATCTCTCCAAACACACACAGTATTCCCTGTCGTCACCGTCTGCAGAGGCCCTGGCATTAAGAGAGACCAAAGTTTGAAGCTGGTGTGAATACACCCCGAGGCCCTGGCTATCCCCCCCCCCCCCCCCATGTCAGTCAGTCAGTCAGTCAGTGGAATGCCAACTAATCCGTTTGTTCAGCTCCCGTGCAGGATCGAGTTTCTGAGTCCTCCCGAGATCTGGGTCAGTGCAACACTGTGGCTGATTCGCAGGTACCAAATCCTGGATGAAGTGCAGGTGTCGCTATGAGAATCAGGGGTGGAAGAAGCAGTCAAATACTGAAGTTAAAGTACAAGTCTTGTGTTTAAATATTACTGATGCAACGACGTGTAAGCAGCATTTTACTGCTGTAGCTCGTGGAGATGGAGCAAATCTTAATTATTTTATATACAGTTTTGTAGTTTAATCCAGTGGTTTCCAACTTAAAGGGGGCAAAAATTAATCTGGTGCACCGTGAGATGATGAATGTTGCAATAAAGAAGAAAAACAATGTGCTGCTACACACATCTGTGTTAAATTTATTGGACTTTGCTCAGTTTTCTTGCTCTTTTTTTGGTGAAATATTGGACACATTTCCCTCTTTTGACCTCAAAAAGTTATTCAGTTGAAACCATCTGGGAAGACTGCAAGGGGAAATGTGTGAAAAGGGTCACCAGCCAAAAAAATATCAAGTTAAATGTTAAATCTTTATCAACTACGGTGTTTAGATGAAAGTAATCGAGTAAAAAGGTTGATATTTTCTTCTGAAATGTTGTCAAGCAGAAATATAAAGTAGCATGTAATGGAAGTACTTCCTCAGAAGTGTAGTGCTTAATCAAATATGATACTTAGCCACTATCATGACTTGTAATGTTGCCTTTATGTACAATACCTGAGTTACAACCCACTTTATTAGGGTTGTGAATATATCTGCAACTGGATTTTGACATTGAAAACAGAAGATCTGCACGCCAGTATTAACCAACACAGTTTTATCTATTAATAATTCAGTCGTCAGGAATCAAAATTGCCAAAATACACCAGAGGAAGTAATGTGTAGGCCTAACTTCTGCCTCAAAGTTCCCTTTGCGCCGAAACAAAACAACCCAGCAAGCTCATCTGACCCTGCGATAAATAAAAAATGACGAGCAAACAAAACCTTGGGACCTTGTGACTTTGGTGCCAACAACCACGTCAACTTTCTGACACTTTAATACACGTGTATGAATGAGTAAGACGGAGAAAGTGGTAAATTCTGTACCTCTTCTGCAGTGTCCTCCTCATACTCAGGGTTGAGCGTCTTCATCACTTTGCTCTTGTATAATTTCCACATTGGATTCATACTTGCACAGTTAGATACCTCAGGGTAAGACCTGTAAAGACCTCGTAATGCCTCTGTGGTCCACCCTTCAGCCGAGTCTCCACTTCCAGCCTCAGCTTCGTCTCACTTAGGCCAACTCTGACCTGTTTCCATGCATGAAAGTTCTCAGCAGCTCAGGGAACTCAGGGGGGAGTTCAGCACCGAGGGCCTCAGTGTTTCATAGCGTTTCTTCTGCTCAGATTATGTCTCGTCTCGTCAAGCCGGTGGAGATGACAGCTGCTTTCGTCCCCACAGAGTGTCTGAGCAGGTAAAGCTAGGAAGCTGTGCTGTTTGTGCATGCGCCCACGCAGGTGTACACACACACACACACACACACACACACACACACACACACTGAATTCAGCGTCACGGTTCAGAATCCCTGCCTTGGTTACCTGGAAACAGGTGTGGATTTCCTCATGCATATTTGAGAGGGTCTCTTTCCCAGAGCCAGAGGTCCATTGTCAGGCAGGTTGGCAGACTGGCTCCTGTAACCCTGATGCACAACACACACAAACACACATACATGCACAGCACTGACATGTTTATGCCCAGATGGAAATCTTAATTGGACGACTTTTGTGCTGCAGCAAGTTTATGTTTTCTCACAACTAGAGATAAAACACACATTCTTAAATCTTCTGAGCAGACAGAAAATTACAGCAGCAAGACTTTTTGTTTTTTTAGAAACAGGCGTTGATGACTTGTAGTCTTGTGTGTATTTCCTCATGAATTAACTCCACACACACGTTCACACATGCAATTCATTTATGGAAACACAAGTTTATATCATCACACAGCCTTACTGGGGCTGTTACCTGGCCACTTCCTTGCAGGCACTGCTCCTCTGCTCTCATTGGCTGCTGCAGCCATATCTGCTGAACACCAGCTTCAGGTGCACCGCAAAGTTTTTTTTGTGACCGGTTGCTTGGCAACCTGAGAGGGCCGGCAAGTGTCGTGTAGATAAAGAGAGATGTATAAAGCTTTGATGACTGATTGAGTTTCACCACCACCACAACACAGACGAGTACAGAAATACATGTGGTTTTGTGTTGACTCGACAAATCTCAATTATCTCTTTAATTTTAGCAAGATAAAGTCTTGTTAAAACACTGTAACAATAGTAATATGGCGCTTAATGTACATTTATGCAAAGTTAATCAGTGTAGCCTTGAAGACAATCTTGATTGATCAGAGAAATGTGATCTAACTTGTCCTATATGTCTCCTGTTCCTGGTTTTAATTACCATACAGTCGGACAGTGATGCGGCTGTAAGGTTCGGGCAGATCCATAAGATTAACATGAATTATGAATGCAGTTCTATGGACAACGTGCAGACTGATGGATGTCTTGTTATTTGAAGAGCAGCCAGTTTAGTTGTGGCCGGAGCGGCTCATGTTTCAGAGTGGAAAGGACACACCCAAGTATTTAACACACAACACTGAGGCAGTGGATTGTTACGGAGGCAGCACAGCTACATTGATGACCTACATACTGCATGTCTTACTATAAATACAAGAAGGATTAGATAATACAGTTGTTAAATAATAGGAGATGTGTGTGTCACTGAGTATTTTGTTACTGAAGTAAACATGCTTTTTTAAAGTATCATGTGTACAGGACTTTTGCATCAAAAGGATAATAGATGATACTTAACCAGGTTTCACTAACTCTGTAGTGAACTCGATTTAAAATGCATATATGTCTGTTTCTGTATTTATTTAATTACATTTANACAAGTGTGTACTAACTGAAGTATGTGATTTGAGACACACCACAGGTTTACCACTTTAGCTTAGTCTGTTAGCATGCTAACATTTGCTAATCAAAAGTAAAACACAATGTACAGCAGCTTGGGCTGATGGTAATGTCAATAGTTTTACAGGTATTTGTTCATGAAGCACAGTATTGGACACATTTAACATTTGTCGTTTATGGCTGTTGTCTTTCCAGGGACACGGCAGGCCAGGAAAGATACCAGACCATCACCAAGCAGTACTACAGACGAGCACAGGTAGTCATCTACTCTCCTCCACTGACTCTGCTGCTGCAACTCATTTTGTGAACTTTTTTTTTTTTTTTGCCTGTACCCTATTTTCCCTCATTCGCATGTGACTAATGGAGACAACATTTTCAGTTCAGCAAAACAGGCTGTGATACAATCCTTATAGGCAATTGTGCAGCGTGAGTTTACAATCTGACAGGCTCAGATCGTTATTTGATATTTGACAACATTATGGACCCTACAAAGAAATGAATCATCATTCTGGCTCACTCAAAGAAAAGTCTCATTCTGAAATCTCATGGACTTTTTCACATTGTTGAAATCAGTGAAACATTCAGCCATAGCTTAGTGCTATCTTTTAAAAAACAATAAGCTACACTGTCTGTACTCCAACACAACAAACTCTTCCCTGCACTCCTCTCACCAATGTTTCCACTGATGGTTTTCCTGCAACATGTCACCTCTTACGACATTTCAGAACGAGACTTCTCCTTGAGCAAGACTTGGTCATAATAACAGATAAGCTAAAGGTAAAGAAAAATGTTCAGTTTCACTTCTAATAACAATCTGAGCCTGTCAGTGGCAAAACAAGCACTTTAAATGGATGTAAGTTGATGGGGCACAGTTGCCTGTGGGTTTACATCGCAGCCTGTTACACTGCTGTGGCTGCAGCAGTCTGACTCAACACTGGATCACTTTCAGGAACTGTTGTCTTCATTAGTCACTTAGATACAAAAACATAGGAAAATTGGTTTCAGGGTGAAAAACACTTAAGTTCCTCCTTGATGTGATATTATTATTATTATAAAGTAGCACAACAAACTGAAATCAAACTAATCTCTGAAATTAAATTAGTCACAGCTACAAGAATAACTCATGACTCATAGTTGGCACCACCTGAGGTGCTGTGATGAACCATTTTAAAGGGATCTCTCATGGATCAAAGTTTCTATGTGTTGTAATGGAACAACCCACTGAGCAAGCAACGTCTGTGGACGTCCAAGTCTAGTTGATACCACGTCTGTGGACCTTATATCAACTAGACTTGGACATCCACAGGCATTGCTTGCTCAGTGGGAAGAACTGTAAGAAAACATCACAGAAACTTAGAACGAGACCAGTGCAGTTTAAAGTATCAAACAGGGTATACCAGTCCTCCTCGAGGTTATTTAAGGTGAAATTAACAGAGGCAGCCCGTATTGCTGGAGATGTAGGATGAGCGTTGGCACACTTGTCCTGCCCTGCTGCACAGAAATCATGGTCTTCCGTACATGAGGATATCAAAATGATCCTTAAATTAGACATCCCATTTTGCCCAAACTTTTTTGTCCTGGGAGATCCCGTCCCTTTAAAACCCTTGCCTGCACCCTAGGCAGACTGGGTCCAGACATCAATCATATTGGAGAGAAAAGTTAGTATAACAGAATGGAAGGCAGTCATCTTACCACCAGCCAGGGTGTGGTTCACCCACCTTGGTGTTGTGGCTGCACATGAGGTCCCCTCCTCTAGGGTTATTAATCGGGTGGAGAAATACTATGCAAAGTGGGTGAATTACATCTCCTTCATTAAAGGTCCCTGAGGTAACTATACGATAACATACTGGGTCAAATCCTTCAAAATGATTAAGAAATGTGTCTTGTGATATACAGTTGTTTTCACATTTGCCGATTATTATTTAATTCATTTATTTATTTATTTTACATTTACTTATGTATTTTATTTTTTATTTATTTATGTATTTTTATTTTTTGTGAGGTCCTATGTCAGGAAATGTTCTGTTAAAAATTGAAAATGAAATTAAAATTATAAATAAATAAATAAATAAATAAATAAATAAATAAAAAGAACATATAAATAGATAAATAAATAAAGTGCATAGGTGTATTTACATATCTCCTCTCACTAGAGGTCACAGTCTGACCTGCAGACAGTGGTGGAAGTATCTTTCAGATCATCTTCAGTTAAAGTAATAGCGGTAAATGTACTTCAAGAATCAAAACTTCTTGGTATGCAGAATAGCACCTTTCAAAGTATTATGATTGCATATTTTGTATTGTTATATTGTTATTTTTGATGCAGTAACAGTCATGCAGCTTGTTGATGTTATTGCTAGTTGAGATGAAGCTCATTTTAATCTATTTACATTGTGTTTAAAATTTTCATTATTTTCAGTATTTAAAATTTCAATGTGTAACGTAACTACAGCTTTAGTGCAGTAAAGAGAACAGTATTTCTCCTCTGAAATGTGTAGCGGAAGTGTTAAGTAGCAGGAAATTAAAATAGTGATGTAAAATGCAGGTACATTAAAATTGTACTTAGGTACCATACTTGAGTGAAAATACGTAGTTATGTTTCATCATTCCAGGGGGATCATCGACATATTTTGTGAGGAGATTAATGTGCATCTTCAAAAAAATTAATATAGATACTATATTAAATATATAGATGCTATATGTTCATACCACAAGGTCTCTCTGCTTTAGGACACAATTTGTGCCCTCCCTCGTCAGATTGGATGTACTGAGCATCTGAGATGAAAGCTTAAATGTGTCTGAAAGCTCTGGTAATAAACAAGCTGTACACCTTTTTGTCAAACTACTGTTTTCTGCGTCAACAGTGAACTGTCAAACTCAGTACTGATATTACAACAAATGTCATTCCTGCCTTCGTTTCTTCATTTCTGCCTTTTTATTAGCATGATGCATGGTCGTATCAGAGAATAAAACAACTCAAGAACAACTAGAGCAAGAGACAAATATTGTGTTTAATTAAATTATTTTGCTTCTTTTTTCACTTTGTACCTTGACACACTGCTTTCTCTAACCTTGAGGCCACCACCATTTTGTTTTAATTATTACTCCCATTGTGCTTGTTTGAATGAGTAATGAATTCATCTGATCTATTTTTAAATCTCTACAAATAGCACCTGACATGACCTGGATGTGATAGAGACATGTTTCAATTACTTCTTATTTTCACCTTCACTGGTGTTTGCTTATTGATTACTGAGTAAAGTTAAAAACCAAATACTAAAGAGAAAAATACTTTTTATGTACCATCACTAGTCATAGCCTGAGATCCCCACAGGGTGGCTCAAGAGTCCTTCATAGTTTTGAACATCTGGTTTTGGATGTTGAGAGGAGGAGTTAATTTCTAGTGTTATAAGGGTGTAGTGTTTGTCATTTTATCATCATGTAACAATCTGTTGATGCTGATATAAAGTAGTGAGGGAAAT